GGTGTACTGTGCTGGCAAAGGTACGCTTTGTCCCTGTACAGTAAAGTTACCCATGCTAGCAAAAAAAGCTACAGCTAGAAAGGCCATTATTCCAGTATACTTGTGCATCTTTTCAAAGGGCTTTTGCCAATAATGTTGGTTAGTTCTTTCACTTCTTTAAAGATCTGACCAGTGTACCTACTCTGGTAGAAATCTGAAGTGTAAGTCTACTGGTTTAGGTCTGGGACTGGTTGGTTGTAACCAAAACCTGCCATGTATTGCTTTCTGACTCCTTAAAAAAAAACAAAAAACCCCAAAACTTCTGAATCCTTATTCCCCGTGTCCTCTAGTGTGAAAGTTTAACCACATGTGTAATATCATAACTAGCATTATTTAGAACAGGCTTCTGTCTGGCCACTGTTCCTTCTGCTGCTGTTAGGGTCTCTTTCATTCAGCTTCCACCATTTCCTGCCCCTGTCCTTTGGGGAAGGCAGAAGAGGGCAAGGCACAACAGTCTTCACAATCTCTGGCATGTGGTCCCTGGCCACTCAGAAGTTGGATGGCCCCAATTTACAATGGTTACCATCTCAACATGAAAAGATAATATCAGCTGCATGGAGGCAGCTTTATCCTTAGAGAAGTTTCTGGGCAACCGAGTACCTTATTACAGCTGTTCTGGGCATACATGAAGAACTTCAGTCTTCATTAACAACAAGCTCTTCTGACAAGCACTAATGGCCTAACTTTGAGTTACTGAGCATGCAAGGCACTACAGTGACTTCAGCAAGAATTGCTGGTAGCCAGCATTTCTGGGAAAAAGGCCAAAATTCTGTCCAAGTTAGTTAAATGCATATTAGAGGACCTGCAGGTAGCACTGCCTAGGGTTAAGTTTGTTTGACACAGTTATAAATCCTGTTTTCAGTTGTTTAAAATTGTATTAAAGTTTAACCATTTGGACTGATATCTTCATCATGCCAGATATCTCTGCATTTTTATCAGTTTCAGCTGCAGCAGTTTTTAAGACTTAAGGCAACTTGGCAAATCATTTTCTCCTAAAACAAAATAGTTTCACTTAGAAGTTTCAGGACCACCATTCTTTAAAACAGGATTGGGCAACCTGTGGCACACGTGCCACCAGTGGCATGGGCAGCCTCTGTGTGGGGCAAACAGCAGGTTGAAGAAGGGACAGATAGCACAGCAGCAATAGGCCAAAAAACAGGTAACAGGGTGACAGAGCAGGTAAGGAGCAGAAACACAGGCAGCAGACTGGGTCAAAGGGGATTGGAGTGGCACACTGGCCAAAAAGGTGGCCCTCCCTACCTTAAAGCAAGGGCTTGAAAATTAATTGGGGTTATTTGTCTAATCCCACAGATACCTCTGTGAAAAATGGGTCTTGTAAGAAGTCTCATACAACAGCGGAGACTTGTTATTTGGCACTTAAAGTTCCATCGGTACCAAGTGTGTTTCCTCCCATTGTGACCCGCACCTTGTGTGCTAGCCCAATACTGGCAGGGCACCAAGAATTCCAATGCAATTGCTCCTCCCTACAGCTAGGAGCTGCCATGGGGTTGGACATTTTGGTGAGAAAAGGCAGACTGTTTCCTGAGCACTCCCTCCCAATATAGCTAAGGCAACAAGGCAGTCAGCCATACTGGCATGCTGAGGGCTCAGGAAGATGGGAGGATACAAGGGGGAGTTGTAGGGAGATTGGATAGGTGCACAGCAGGATGGGACTGGGACAGGCTGACAGAATGGGCGGAAAGGTCCATAATAGTGCATGCTCCTTTCCGGGAGGTGGAAGTGTCCCCAAGAAACTCAGGTCTCTACAGTCCTGTCAAGGAAAGTCTGTGAAATCTACTGCCAGATAATGCATCTCCTCTTCTCATGGCAATTAACAACCTACTACTTCTACCAGTGAGTGTAGATGGTGGGTTGTATTCTGGGACTGAATCAGGATAGTTGTAGTGAGACATCTATAGTTCCTTGTAACAGGGCTTTCTTGGGGCCAGTCTGCCATTGGCCCACCCACCTGTTCCTGGGCCAACCACCCACCTCTTCACCTGCCACTCATTGTTTCTTAATTGGTTCTAAGAAGGCAGGAGGCTGCCCATTCTTGCCCCAATGCTAGGGGGAGCTAGCTGCAGCTCCATTTCTCCCCTACACTACAACCCAAGGCTCACAGATGGCATCCAGGTGACAGTGCTCCCAGCCTACAAGCAGACCAAGCTTAGGTCTTGTTGTTAGACATCAAACACACACATTCATACCACCCACCTCTCACTAGGGCCCCCTCACACTTCACCCCCTCTCCCAGGGTCTCTTCCACACATCAACAACTTATACCACCTTGTTCCCTCAGAGCAGGCCCCTTCAGCCATAGGCTTTACTTATGGAACACCTTGGGTGGCAGATACCATCTTTTGGGCCTCTCCTGTGACCCTCACTGGGGTAGTAGCCTGCCAATTACCCAACCATGGCCACACTTGCCCTGGCCCCTCCCAGGGCAGCTCTACACACACTTGCATATTGGGGTTCTACATTTCCACCCCCTCTCACTGAGGCTCAGGTGGCCATAGCTATGCCTGGCCCCCTTGTATCCATAGTGTTGTGGGGGCTACGGGTTAAGATACCCCAGCCCACCTTCTACCAGGGTGGTAACTGGTCTGGTATTTTCCTGGAGGCCCCCACATCACTGGGAGCCCCACCAGGCCACCCACTCCCAACAAGGTTTGGTTTTAAGTTATGCCCAGGACTAGGAACCATCAAACCATCCCCCTTAAGCACCTACCCCTACCTCCAAGATGCTTGTACAGCCTTTCAACCAAGTAATGCTTTTGCCTGGCCTGCCAGTAGTGAACTGCTCTGTTTATATAGGCAGCCAGAGTTCTAAAATGGCCACCGCAATCAAGCACCTGGTGGCTGTTTGGCTCAGCCCTTAAAGTGGCAGACACCAACAGTGCCCTGCCACATCCCCCCTGCCTTATTTACTGCAGAAATTGTAAGGTTTGTAATTAAAGCAGGGTTCTCCAGGAAGAGGAAGGGCAAGGTTTGTACAGGATTGAATGAAGGTTAGGGTTGCACTTCAGCAAGGAATATAACAAAAATTCAGTAATTTTACCCATTTTGAATTGAGCAATAGCCTTCAGAGGGAATCATCTGATTGGAGATTCATAATATGTATAAAAATGTTGCCTAAAAAAATTCTGGCCTCTCCTAACTTTTAGGTGTTTGACTTTTCTAAAAATGTTAAAAAATACTGATAGTGCAAAGATGTATATATTTTGTGGTGTGTGTGAACAATGGTGAATGGGGAAAATCATTGTGAGTTATGAAGTGAAAGAAGCAGCAAAGAATATTTCAAAGCTTATTGTCATTTTATTTTGCTACTGTTTTTGTAATTTAGTTTTACTTGGATTTTACTTTGATAACTATACCATGGTATATTTTTGTAAGAATTAATACCTCACTACAAATCTGTTAAATGCTTATTAATTGGGACTATGGGGGATTACTTATGTAAAGGGAAAAGATTTCAGTTTTTATTTCTAGCAAGGTGCGAATTAGTAGGCTTTGCTGTGCAGGTTTCTTGAACTATTACTCGAGTCTTCTGACAAGCAAGCATAACAAGTTTACGGCTGTGACTAAGACATCAGCAATACTGCATAGATAAAGCATAACATTAAAGTCTACATAGAGCATAACAGTCCATGATATCAAATATCTGCTGACAGATTCCTAAGTATCTCAAGGCACTGACTAGATGCTCTAGTACCCAAGGTGCAGAATTTTACATGACTTGTTAGCAAAAGATTAGTTTGAAACACAGTCATTCCCTTGAAATGCACTTAGTTTCTAATTAGAGATTTAAATTCCAGCATTGTAGTCCTCTGTAAGTTTGAAAAGCAGTTTTGAAAATTCATCCTGGATTATAGGAATGGCAACACATTCTCCACTAAGTCTGCCCAGTGTATGTATTCCATCACTTTATCTGCTACATCAGAAGTATGAACAAGTTTCTGTAATCTAAGCTTTGTAGAGCCCTTACAGGTATTGAAATGATCCGTATTCTATTCCTTGTGTATCAGCAGAGCTGTTTAAGTAAATTACAAAGTCAGTTATATCTGTGCAGACGTACTGACAGTGGGGTTGTACAGATGTCGTTGAGAGCATAATTTAGCTTAGCAACTTTTTATTTTCATGCACTGAGCATATTTACTAAGGAATTAGTGAGAAACTTGAAACCTCAGGATTTCTTTAGGCATAGAATCATGGTTAGGATAAATTATTTGGTCTATAAAACTACATTCAAGTAAGAAAAAAGTGTTTTTGGTAAAACTATGTTGTTTGGAACTTTATTCTGAATGAAATAAGACATTAAATAGAATGATAGCCTTTCAGACTATTTTTATTTTCTTTTGGCATTGAAACATACTCTGTGATTGTTATGCCCAGTGTTTGCTACATTGAGTAGAATGATAAAAGTTTAAAAAAACTTGTGACAAAATAACATTGAGGCTTCCTTTTCATTTTTCAGTGACAGATTTCCAAATTTTAATTCTTATTACTTTGAATGAACAACCCTGACCATATTAATTAATCAAGTCATGCTCAGCTTTTTTGTTTCAGTTTTTGATGGCTTCATCAATAAATATGGTGCAACATAAAATAAGAGTTTCCTTCTTTGAGAAGGAAAGATGCAATGTTATAGGGGATTCTAATGGCAGATTATAGACAGATTTAGCTAAATTAGTGCAAGTATGTGTGTGCAGCCTGTATCTTAGTCTGTTAATCTTAGAAGCTACAGGACTCTGTGTGCTTTCAGGCTGGATCGGCTCCCCCCGCCCCCTTCTCAGATTTGTCAAATGACTTGAGAAAGGGTTACTTTGGTTTGAAGAGCTGGAAATAACATGGAGTAAATGGGTCATGCCACATAAAAGGGAGAATACCTCCAGAATAAGGTAGTATTTTTATCAAATGGAATAGTATAACATAACTGTTCTTTTATATTCTTATTTGAACAGGAATGCCCAAGGAAAAGTACGATCCACCTGATCCACGGAGGATGTACACAATTATGTCCTCAGAAGAAGCAGCGAATGGAAAGAAATCACATTGGGCAGAGTTGGAAATAAGTGGTAAGAAATGGATAGATGCGTGGTTATTGAAAGCTAAAGAAATGAAGATTTGGGTTAATTTTAGTACATTATGCTAAAAGCAAGTGCTTTATATTTGCATTTTCAAACTCCAGTAAATTGTTGGATAGCGTGGATCAGACCATACATTCAAAGACACTGTATGAACAATCTCTTTTGGTTTATAGAGTAACTTCTAATGATGCTACATAAATGATATTTAAATCCTATACTGTACACTTTTAAATGTTTCCAGGAAGAATATAGGAGCTCTTTTCTTATGTTGGGTGAATTAAGAGCAAATTGCATTCTCCCAGGGTGTGAGAGTTCTGGAAAAGACTGCAAGGATCACCTTATGGCTTTTCCAGCTAAGCATCCTGTAAGAAGAAGGGCTTATGGAGCAAACAGCAGGATTGGATCTCTTGGTCCTGGAGACTCTGCCCCTCCATGCTGTCAGTCTGGCCTTGCTTCAGGAGCTACATTCTCTCTGTGTGCACAGAATTCCCTTTCTGAGGTCACAGATAACCCAGTTAAATGTTATTGCCAGGCATGGATATATGCTTGGATATCTGCCACCAATGTACAGGAAAATGCATTAAACAACGGTCCTATCCCTTCCTGCTTAATCCCACTGTATCCCAGTTCCTGCCAAGCATGCTGTGTGCTGTTTTCTGTGCGCTGAAGAGGCGGGGACAGTGCTGTAGATTTGGTTTGTTTTTTTTTTGTTTGCTTGTTTCCCAAGCCAGGATTTCCCTCTTACTCACAGTTTCTTGGTAGAAGTCTACAAAACAAAGTGTGGTGGATTATTAATTTGTGTTAAGGAACTTAACTTAAAGTCTTTCGAAGAAGCATTGACAAGCATTGGAAGAATACTGGTATTCTTTGAGACTTGCATCTTGCTACCCTGCAACAGAAAACTCTGACATTCTAGCCCAGTAATAAAACTCTTATTTTGGCAGAAATATTCAGGAAAATTGCTCAAGTCAAGCACAAAAGGCATAAATGTTTTGAAGTTGTTCTGGTGAAATTAAACAACTCTTATTTATAGGCTTTGTTGTATTGACTCCCGGGTAAAGAAATATCGTATTTACTCAAAATTGGGACACAATTTCCCGCCTCCCAACAGCCTTGGGGTGGTGGAGGGTGAGCCTTGTCTTAGATTCAGCTATCAGCTCAGGGCAGGCAGTGATTCAGTTCTGGCTTTGGTCCCATGCTCAGAGCCAAAGGAGGATCTGAGCTGCTGCCTGCCTTGTGCCAGGGTGGCTCATGTGGCAGGGGAGTGTGAGGAGGCCCTATCCCTGTCCTCACAAGCAAAAGAGTGGTGCTTTTTTTTTTTTTAATATAATATTATTACCGTTATTTAATTTATATTGGATAACACTGGAGAGAGTTTAACACGGGTTCATACAGGCCGCAAAAAGCCTGTAATGTGGCAGTAAGCTTATTTTTCTCTGACGTGATGACTTTCTGATTTTCCCATAGTGTCCTCGGTAGAGTTTAAATGGAGGGTGGTGAGTCTTTTTGCCAAAGAAATTTCTCCAGTGATCAGCTTATGATACTTCTAGTTCCTAGCACACTGGCATGCAGATTTGTTGACTCTTCTTAAGAGCAAATAAATTAATATCCTTCCTTTTGCACAACCACTCAAGGCATGGTTTCTGAGGTTATGGCAGAAGCCAATACAATTTAGCAACCCCCGTTCTCAAGCTACTAGCCTTTAGTCATGCCCAAACAACACTTACGAATGCCAGAGGAAGTGTCTAAATCTTTTTGGCTGGATTAGTGGAATGAAACAGCCTTTTAATTTAGAAGATTGCGTACAAATAAGGGGCATCCCTAGAGAATCATTTTTTCACCCCAAAGCAAGTTACCATGAAATTGAAGATATCAAAGAAAAGTGCAGTTTTTCAATTGAAATAATTTTTTAAAATACCAAATCTTTGTTCGTGTAAAATCTGTATGTTGCTTTATACAGTATTTTTAGGAAGGAGAAGAATTCCCAAAACCAATTTTGGCCTTGGAAGGGCCTAAGTGTGTTAGTCAAGGTAATGTAAAGGGAAATTTTTTTTTAGTTATCAGAATGGTATGGAATAAAATATCTTCTCCTAGAAAATCTTCCTTTTTACTCATGATTCAGAAATTTTTAAAGGCCACCTAGAACAGATATTGTAATAGAATATGTGTTGATGCTAAAACTACATGTTTAAAATGTCCTGCATTCTTTGTATTTTCCTGGTGTATTTGTGACTCTCTTTCTCTTACAGGAAAAGTAAGAAGCTTAAGTTCATCGTTGTGGTCGCTGACCCATTTGACAGCTTTGCATCTCAGTGACAATTCCTTATCCCGTATTCCTTCAGACATTGCCAAGCTTCACAATCTGGTATACTTGGACCTGTCCTCTAATAAAATCCGCAGTTTACCAGCAGAGCTCGGAAACATGGTGTCACTCAGGTATGTAAATTAAATTTCACATTCATCTGTGGTCCTGGCAGGAACCAGTCTCCTGTTTTGGCACAGTTTTGTATTGCAACTAACAAAAAACCAATGTATATTTTTTCCTAGATGTTGGAATAGTCCTTCGCAGCCCTAGTAGGGCCTTTATTGTTGCCCTGCTCCTCAGTTCCTTTGTGCAGCTGTATACGATAACCTTGAGGAGGCCTGAATGTGCACACTTTGCATACCTCTCCCAAGTTAGGTTTATGTATACAATCCCCCTGACATATATCCCTAAGCCCTTACACAGGCTCTCATCTCAAAGAGCCTTTGACTCCCAAAGAGATTGCTGGGGAAGTGGTTCTTTATTCATAGTAAAGGAAAAAGACTGTTTCCAAATAATTTTATTTTAAAAAATCATCTCTATTTCTTCATCTTTCATAGACATACTTAGTGTAGTAACTTATAGGCTTGCAGTTTTATGACATATGTGTCTTTCATAACAACAATATCTTTTTCCCCTTGCTATTCATGTACTTATTTCTATACAGATCAAAATATTCTAAAATAGGGGTGCAAGATTTGTTTCCCTCTGCTTTGCAATATCTAGAGTTACAACGCTGGGGTGAAATTAGTTACTATTAACATTTACATTTGAAAATGGTTGTCTTCAGTGTTACAGTTATTTGGGGTGTAATTGAGCCTACAGTGTTTCACCTAGTTTGCAGAGTCCTTTTTTCTGTAAGATGGACCTCAGTGAAGAGGTTATTGTATAGTTAACAGCACTTGACTCCCTCATGTTCAAGGCCATGGCTAATTTTGTGAAATCTAAGAACTTCTCGACGTCATGGAAACTTAATTTTTTTTTTTTTTTTTTTTTTAATAAAGCTGCAGTGGCAGTGAAGTTATTTAATGATATACCTTGGTTTGGGTGACAGACCATCTCTCATTTCATAATATTAACAATTATATTTCCCCCAGCGTTGGAAACAACCACTTCAATGGAAAGGTTAAATTAATTGTTTAAAATTGACAGTGATGGATCAATAAATTAAAAAGAAGTTAGTCTTAAAAAATATTTTCCTGTGATCCCTCATTAGCAATGGGAATTGTATCCAAGTACATCATTTTCCCTTCCCCCCCCTAAAAAAAAAAAAAAAAAGAAAGCTCAGTAGTTGTCTTGTTCAGAAAATGTTTATACAGTGTTACTTTCTCCATCATCATACCAATAACGTTCACTAATAGTCATTTTCTTCCCTTGCTTTCTTGGTTATTCAGGCATCATTAACTTACAATGTTAAGCTTACAGAAACATTCTCAAGTTCATCCGTTCTCTTTTCTTTTCATAAAGTTTTTTCTTTTTAAAAGTGTTGAGTATACTTGGTGCTCATGAAAGTGAGGTAGGATAGCATTACTCAGAGACATGAGTGGTAGAATAAATATTGTACAAAGTTCCCTAACACTTCCTGATTCACTTCGGTCCTGAATATACAGAACTTCAGCTATTGCAATTTTGAGCCTTTTCTGAGCAGAGGATGTTAAATCTTGTTATGGCTATGAAATGTGCACTGAATACCTAGGATCAAACCATCAAGCAAGTTTGTGACATTGAATATAATATTTGAATCCAGGTCTCCAGACATGAAAGGCTAGTGCATTAACCCACTGCACTCTCTCTGTCCTCAGTAATTGCAGCTGATCCATGATTTCTTTTCACTGGGGTGAAAGTGAAGAAAAATCCGTAAGTGCATCCTGCGTGGTAGCGCTCTGCAGGTCTCAGTCGCATGGTAGTTTTGTGTTTCCTGCTGGCTCTTACTGCAGACACTCCCCATAGGTTGTGGCATAATTTCTAGACTAACAGGGTAACTTCAACATTGAATATGGCTAATATCATGGACCACAGTGATAGTGTGTACTGACATACCCTAAAATAATCTTAGATTCAGTAATAGGCCTTTCAACTTCCATAACTAGGAAATCTTTTTAATAAAGAGGCATTTTTAGTCTCCATGCCTGAGGCTCCCTTTATCTCCCTAAATTGTGTCCCTTTCTACTAAATTGTAGGAAAAGATATTCTGATAACTTTGGGAGAAAATAAATAAGCTTTGTGTAATGGGAAATGATCCGGTTCTAGTCTTTGGAAAGATATGGGGGGTGGAGAAATTATCACAGCTTTTTTTCTAACTCAACTGGGGAGGGTTCTTGCAGTTCAGCTTTCAATGCAGGGTCTTTTGAGATGCTTGGATAAGCTAATAGGTCTTGTCTAGATCCTCTCTGTTGCTTAAAAGGAGGGAGCTCTCTGAAGGCAGAGAACATTAGACTAAACAGAGCTGTCCTTACGCAGTCTGAAGTGGGGAGAAGACACAGTAATACCTTCTGCTATGCCACTCCAAATTCAGTGTTTTTCCTCATTAAGAATTTGAGAGCTATATATCTTAATCATAAAACTGTAACCTAGGTGAACACCTTGAATTAAGATCTCACCCATCCTTTTACAGTTCAGCAATACTCTCAAATGTTCTTGGACACAAAGGCATCTTCATAAAGAACAATCCATTTCTCATCTTTTAGACTCGCACACAGTATCATCCCCAACAGCGTGGTACAGTTGACACTTGGTAGAAGTAACATGCTAGTACCATGTTGCTTTTAACTTCTGTAGCTGTTTTGGGGAATGTCTGAATACATGGTATGGAAATTGTTCCAAGGGGAAACATTGCTGGTAAGCAGTTGTTGCTCTTACCAGGTGTTGCAAACAAGCATCAACACTGGTCATTTAAATCTTTAGTGGCTGAGAATAGTGAGAGGCTGGTATGCTGCTATTCACAGTAGGTGTTGCAGTTTGAAAAACTATGAATGAAGCAGCTGGATCAGTGGCTTTCTTCCTAAAATGTCTACTTCTATCTTTGTTCTTTTCACATTTTACTAGGAAAGGCTGGGAAACCGTAATCTGACAGAACCAGATGGGTAGCTCTCCCTAAAGGTTTTTAGGGTGATCAGTCATAAAAACCTGCTTCTATGAGCTCTTAGTGATATCTCAACATATTCGGTAAAGTTGACATCTTCATTGAAAATAGGATATCAGCAACACATTCCACGGGAATGGAGAAAGGAGTGTTCATTTATGTGTGTGTATTCCAGCCACCTTAACCAGGAGAATTACAAAAAGAAATATGTTTTATCTACCATAAATAATGTCTTGAAGAAATCTAAAATGAACTATTTCAAACTTTGATGTACTTGAATACTTCCTGCAGTTATTGTACTTCACATCTTTAGCACTTTGAGGGATCTGCAAGCAGTGGAAGACTTTAACCATTATACCTAAATTGGACCATCACAAAAGGCTTGCTAATAAGTCTATAGTTTCTCCAGACCTCAGGACATAACTCTCCACCCATTTTTTACTCCTAAGTTAAAAAGCATACACTCTTCTATCAGTAAGACTGTGAAATAAATAATGAAATATTACCCTTTGTAGACCAAAGAGATTTCATTAAGAACGGTCAGGAACACAGACATTTTTGCAGTGGTATGTCAGCTGATACCTAACTTTTGTTGATAAAGTAATGGAAATATTTGGTAAAGAATAGTTAATTGGTAGATTTTAGTTTTCTGGGACATGTTCAGTCTCTCCTTTCCATATGTAACATACAGATGACAATTCGTGGCCAGTAAACCAGTGCTCACCAGAACACTTAACCAAGAAAGATTTAGCAGCGCACTAACATGGTAGTATAATAGTACTGTTATGGCACTGGGCGTTTTGTTTGTTTGTGTATAATCTTGTTCCCTTATTTGGTCTTTAATCATAGCTGAACCATTTGTGGTCCAGATTGTCAGAACTGTTATTGCTTCATTACATGTAGTGGTTTAATGCTTTAATTACTGTTAACTTTTTAAAAAGCTCTTGACTAAGTTGGACTTGCCAACAAGCAACTTCCTGCTCTGTATTTCAAACTTAATGTGCCTTTTTTGTGAATACAGCAGGATGCCCCTAATCTTTGCTGACTGTTTAGTCTTCCAGTTCTTCAGAATTGTGGCGTGCTAGTACACTTTGTCTTTCTTGTAGCTGAACTACTTCAGCTGTAAACTATTGATAATAAATACTGCTTTACTTCTGACTTTATGTGATTCTTATTTTGTGTACAGGGAACTCCATTTAAATAACAACCTGTTACGAGTTTTACCTTTCGAGCTGGGAAAACTGTTCCAGTTACAGACGTTGGGTCTGAAAGGTTTGCCTTTTTTTCTTTTCAGCTACTAATAATTCATATTTGATCTTGTTCCTGAGCTACAGCTATTTCAAGGTGCTAATTCATAAAATATGACTGAGTAGCAACTCTTGGCATTAGCATATCCTCCTCTTAAACATCTTGATAATTAATGTTGCTGAATTTTTAAAAAGAATGAAAACTACCTCAGAGAAATTCTGCTTAATTTCCACTGTGAAGAATTGGGAGGGAGGATTTTGGAGAGGTAAGGGGATGAGGTTTAAGTTAACTTTCTGTCGCTTGCTTGGGAGTTGGATATAGTTCTGGGTTTGTTTGGTGGTGGTGTTTTTTATGCTCTTAAATCTGGCCTAAGTGAACTTTCCTTGAAGATATGGAACTCTTCATCTCAAACAGGATTAGTTAAGCACCTAGTTAAAATTTTGTATAGCATCATACTGTGTGTTCTGTGCACAGAGCTGCTGACTTCAGTGAAAGGTCTACACTGTTGGGAACACTGTATTATGTGATGCCTACAAATGGCCTTAAAACTCGTAAGTCAAATGTTAATATATTTGACTGAACAGTAAACCTCCACTGTTTTTTGTAAACTTGAGACCTTTGTTATACAGCGGAGCCCCATTTAATTAAACAACCTAGATTTCCTACTAGATTGGCCCAAAGAGACCATATTCTGGTCTTTAAGTACTGAGCAGAGTCGCATTTAGCTCCCTCCTGGAGAAGTGCAGGCAAATAGGACCTCTGAATCAGCTGTATCACCCATCACCAATGTGTGATGAGGCACAAGGCATGACAGAGCAAAACTTTCCAAACTCAAATGCAAGAGAGAGTCTAGTTTAGTAGGACTACTTCCATGTCTAAATGTTTGCAGGCTTTGAAACTGAGATTTTATTTGAAACTGAAAAAAGAGTTCTCAGTATTCTGTGGTTGTAAATAAAAAAAAATAAAAGAAGTTAGTCTTGTATCCCTCCCCACCCCCACACTCCTCCATATATTCATCATTGTTCCAGTTTAATTTTATTTTCTGTATTTCTGTAACCATGTTTGCAGGAAATCCACTTACACAGGATATTCTGAACCTCTATCAGGAACCAGACGGAACACGAAGGCTACTGAATTATTTGCTTGATAATTTGGCAGGTACTGCAAAAAGAAGTAAGTGGTCATTCCTAAAATATTTATTTGTGCCATTTAAAATAAACGTGACTATTTCACTTTGGATTTTCTCTCTTTCTCAAAATGTTCCAATAGTTTCAACAGAACAGCCACCTCCAAGATCTTGGATTATGTTGCAAGAACCAGACCGAACAAGACCAACAGGTAGCATTGCAATAGCGCTTAAGGTTTTTTTTCTTTCCTTATCTCTAATGTAATTCAGCCTTTCCTTCTGCTGAAGAATTTCTTGATAACTTAAAGTGAAGCAAACCATACTAATTGATAACAAACGGCATAGGCATTCCTGTAGCAAGCTCATATTTGCCTTTATTTTATAAGTGGACTATTCCCTCTAAACTGAAGTAGTGTCTAAATGTTTTAAAGTAGCTAATCAAATGAAAATATTTTAATTAAATATTTAAAGAATCAAGGAGAGTCTGGAAAAGACCCTTCACTAGGTATAGCATTAAAGAAATTACTTTCTTATTACAGACTATATATGGTCTGTTATAATCAGATGTGGGAATTTGCAAATTTATTGGCATATTTAATGTGTAAATTACAAATGTTATAATTTGGTTAACATGTATTTTACAAATCAGTAGAACAGGGTATATTTTAAACCCTTAAAAGAAACTATAGCTTTAGTCCTTGATATTTGTAAAAATGGACGCTGTCTTCATTTTATATTTTCCTCCTATCCAGAGAAGTTTGTATGTACAGCTTACTGCCTGGAAACTGGCATATATCAGAGCACTGCTATTATGATAGAGAAGGTCTTTTGATTCTGTAACAATTCCCCCTCTAGTTTTAATTTTCCCACTGCACTCTGGTTCTGGGCTTTACTACAGGTAGTACTTATGCTGCCATTGTCCTGTTAGCTTTTAGTATGGTGGTCAGTCTTTCAGGACAGCTTCCTTGATTTAAGGGAAGCTTGTGTTAGGTTAAGAACCAGGCCAGAACTAGCAATGAAGTGTCTATGTGAATATAGCCTCTTCCCAGCTGGGAACCTCTTTGTCCTCGCTTCTTCATGATGTAAGATCCCATGCCCTGTCCCATACAAAGGTGTAGCGGTAGGTAAGCAGCTTGAATTGGAACCTCTCCAGCAAGAAAAATGCTGAAATATGGTAGAGCAGTATGGAAAAAGCTGCTTGCATGGGTGAGCAATCCTTCTGGATGCAGGGGTTAAGGAGCTAGAGATCTTAGGTTGAAGAAAAGAAGAGTGGAGACTAGGATTAAAGGAGGGCATGATGAGAGAAAAGGTGGGAGCCTCTACTCTGTTGTAGAATTGGACACAAGTGTAAGGTTAAACTAAGTGCATATAAGAAAATACTGTCTTTAGAGGGCAGAGTGTATTTAAAAATACCTCGTGCTTGATGCAATGACGGTATAGCCTTCTAAACACTTCAGAAATAGTCTACCCCCTAATCCTATGTTTATGGGGTGTTTTGTTTGCCTGTCACATAAGCTACTTGGTCCTTTGCTGGAGAACTTGGCATGATCTTTGAAAGACCTGAATAATAAAGTCATCACAGTTTCTCCTGTCCTACTCAGAGTAAGCAAGAAGAGCTGCAGCTAAAGTGTGGCTTCTCTGTGACATTGCTATTAAGATCTTCCCAAGATTTTCCAGCAAAGTGCCAAGAAAAGGTCTAATAGCTTGTGTATAGGGCTGCTTTAAAAAAAATCTTTTATTTTTCCTGTATAATGCAGGAGAAGGCAAGCAATCTTATATTTTTGATTTGCGTTTTACATTTTAAATAATTCCTCTTTTACTTCTTAAACACTATGTTAGAGTTGTTCATGACCATTTAATCTTACTGACTGTTGTTTGTGGCCTTGAACCTGTATCTGGCACCTCTTTTCATGACCTTCTTGTTACTTCTTTCTGTCCTTAATCTTTTTGCCCTTCTCTCCCATCTCCCATTGGTAGGTCCACTCAGGCAACCTTTAGCATGGACTCATTCCCCAAGATTTGCTTTCTCTTCTCATGCTTATGCTGGCAGATATCCTGTCTTGCTGGACTAAATTTAGTGTCTCCTTCCACTTTGTCATTTTCCAAATAGAAGAACTCCCATATTCTTGAATCCCCCATCTACAGTCCCAGTTGCTACATCACCAGCCTCCTTCTTCCTCCTTCCCCATCTATCTTGAGCTGCTGTAGTACAGAGATTGCTACTTCTCATGCTGATCAGTGTTGTCCCATTGTTTCCCCATGCGCTTCTCTTTTTGTCTTATACTTCAGTTGTAAGTTTTTTGGGTCTATTCTTTTTTCCCCTTTTCTTAAAGAGAGCTTTAATAGATTTAATCTTCAAAAAAAAAATCATGTGAATAAGTTGTTTTTGTTTTTGTTTTTTTTAAAGTAAAGTTCCTTTGTCTCTTAGTCACTATTTATATTGGTCATATGTGGACCATCTTTTAGACTTATACCATAATAAATTTTATAGGCCCAAGTCTGTAGGGTTCTTTCATTTTAGAAAGAGCATTTGATGCATTTTTCCCCAGGGGAAACTGTTAACTTCTGTATTTTAGTTAAAGTAAGTTAAGTAGAAAATTGATAAACTGTTGAAGAAAAGAGCAAATAATGTAATTGTACACTTTATTAAAATGTATTCCGTGTGTAAGTAAAATTATTGTTCTGCAGCCTTGTTTTCTGTCATGTGTTACAACGTACTTTGTGATAAATATGCTACCCGGCAGTTATATGGCTATTGTCCATCATGGGCACTGAACTGGGAATACAGAAAAAAAGCCATTATGCAGGAAATTTTGAGCTGCAATGCTGACATCATAAGTCTTCAGGTAAAAGATAGCTTTTTTCCTCTTGCATCCACATGTATTGGTTTTGACTCTCATAATTTAAGTTCACTTTAAGTAAATGTTATGTTTTAAAGTCCTCTTTAAAACAAAGCAATATAAATTAATTTAGAATGTTGTTATTCACTGCTTGACATCAAAAGCATGCTTTAACAACCTACACTGATGGAGTGCTAACCAGCAATTGCTGATCAAAGGCAAACTGGAGTGTGTACATAAATGTGAGAGAGAGTGGTGGCAGTTTCAAATGAGACACGAGATAATCATAACTCTGGGGATTATAGAAATTTTAATTTGCCTTTTCAAAATAGCAGTATAGTTATCTCCTAGATGCATTCCCTAGTATATCTATTTTCTTAAAGCTAGTTTGGAGGTGATTTACAGTTATTTCTGCACTGTTTAACCTCTAGAAGGAAACACTGGTCGTCTGTATTCTGGAAGTGCTAAGTTGATGTTTTGTACTGTTTTGTAACTTTACAGGAGGTTGAAACCGAACAGTACTACAGTTTCTTTCTAGTAGAACTGAAAGAGCGTGGCTATAATGGGTTCTTCAGTCCGAAATCTAGAGCCAGGACAATGTCAGAACAAGAAAGAAAACATGTTGATGGTTGTGCAATATTTTTCAAAACAGAAAAGTAAGTGGTATATTTCATAAAAGTTTGTCATTTCCTGTTTCCTGTCTCAGTTTCTTTGGTCAGACCAAAGAAACTGTGAAGACGTGTCCGGATGACAATTTCTTGTTATGGTGTCATTGGGAACATGGGGAGAACGTGTGCTCTTAAGTCAGAGTCACTTCTGTATATATGCTTCCTTTCATGACTTGTGCTCTGTGCAAAATATTCCTACCTCTGAAAGGAATAGTCCACATCAGAAGCATCGTGTTGGACAGCTCATCTGAAAAATGCTCATATTAACCATGGTCTTGTAATGCTTTGTACTGTACAAGAAGAATGCAATGAAAATAAGTCCCATTGCAGAGATTCCAGCAAAGACCCTCTAGAAAATCTGTTTGAACTGGGTTAGAAGTAGCATGTCTGGAGTTTCACCTGGAAAAGCAAATGAGAATTTTGCCCTTGAACATAAAAATTTCGATTCTAAATGCCTTCAGTTTGAGACGAGAAGAACAGATTATAGCCTTTGAATAAAATGTTGGTTCTCAAGTAGATAAAAGGACTGAGCATGATCATTTTTTGAGAAAGATGAAGCCCCTGTCCTATATATTTCTTTTCGTAGAATCATAAAATGAGGGTTGGAAGGAACCCCAGAAAGTCATCTAGTCCACCCCCCTGCTCAAAGAAGGACCATCCCCAACTAGATCATCCCAGCAAATTATTTCCTAAATATAAACCTAAATGTTGACACCTTTAAGTAGTTGTGATGCATAGGGGGTGCACGTGCACCCCCTGAGTGCTGGAACACCCCCTGAGAGCAGCATTCCCGGGCAGGCGAGAGCGCTGGTGCCCCACCCTGAGAACGCCAGCCAGGGAGCGTGCCAGGAGAAGTGTTCCCCCCGCGACCAATCCCGCTGACCCAGAAGTGTCAGTGGCACAACACCCCCCACCCCAATCTTCAGGATAGGCCGCAGGGGGACCCAATCACTAACTGTCTGCTGGGGGGACAAGTGCCGCCCCTCCCCACTCAGGAGGCACCGGTTGCCCATGCCTTTAAGGGACTTCATTTTCAGAAAATGGGTACAGTTCAATGCTTTCTGAAACTCAGGGGCATCTCTTAACAGGTCTGGAATAAAACACCTAAAAATTGAGGTACCTAGAATTGTCAAACACTTTTGAAGATCTAGACCATACTTAGACAAGTAAATTCTGCATCTGTAAAGTATTGAGTGCCCTGGTCTAAGTCCTGATTCTTTTTATAAGAGTTTTTTTGTATGTTCTATCATGTCCACAAATCACTGCAAATGCCAACCGTAATACCCTCCAACAGATTAACAAGTGTTTTATCCTAGTTCAAATTGATGTGTATAGTAGCACAAGAGAGGCAAAAGATTTTATTATACCATATATTTTTCCTAAAGTCTTAAAGAATGTGGGAGGAATCAGCAAGAGCCAGGTCCACGCAGCGATCCCTGGTAATGTCTCTGATGGGCAAGAGCTCCCAAATCGATGAAAATACCAAAGCGCACACAGATAAAGATACGCACACCATTTTCTTCATACGAAAGAAGAAAGAATGTGAAAAAACAAGGCTTTTTTATTTTAAACTTGAAATTAGTTTAGTTTAACATGGAGCCACAGATAAAAATAGCTAGTGAAAACCTGTCTCCTGTCTTCAGCTCAGCATTTTATAAAGGAATAATTTGACTGGCTAAGACTGCGGTAACTTAATATAATTACATTGAAGTCTTAATTGTCTGCTTAAGAAACTGTACAATGTTCTTTCAGATTCACTTTGGTTCAAAAACATACTGTTGAGTTTAATCAACTAGCTATGGCAAACTCAGAAGGGTCTGAAGCTATGCTGAACCGAGTTATGACAAAGGATAACATTGGAGTTGCTGTACTGCTAGAGTTGCGAAAAGAATTGATAGAAATGTCATGTAAGTCATCGTTCACCTCTTTTTTTTATTGAACTAGGTATTTTGCAGTCTACAATGCAACTTTTAAATGAAATAGGAAATGAAAAAATAACTTTCCAAAAATACACAGTACCTACCAGTCTACAGCTGTGTTGCATTTGGGAGCAGTGTTAACTTCAGATAGGATTTGCAAATCTTTTTTGGAATGGCAAGTGTTAAAACAACCTTTTTAAAGATTTTTTT